ATCAGCAGACTCAAAAATTGCTTGCACTCTTATTTTTAAAGAGCACATCTTGAAATATCTACTTTCTAAGATGCAGAATTTTTATCTTAGATAATTTTTTTAACTATTAAATTGAAAATCAGGCTTATTGATATCACCAATATTACAGTAAACTGTATATTCAATTCTCCATTTATTTATTATGACTTGATCTTTTATTGTCTTTTTATGCTGAAAAGCATCTCTGCAGTCCTCCTTCAAGATACTCTGCTGCTTATTGTGCTTACATTTTGTCAAAACAAAATGTGCAGAGTTGTTTCTATAATATGGAAATGTTTAGAGTGAACTGACAAAAATAGTAAATACATTGGCATCTTTGTATTAAATATAATGGTTGGGATATCTTCAATTATTCCCCATAGATTGGGAAGTCACTTCTCATTATTTTTTATTTCCATAAGTTTGTTTTTATAAATACTATATTTGAACTTGAATTAGAGAGAGGTCCTTTCTTCTGCTCTGATAAATAGGATATCTATTAGCAACCAATATGAACATTATAATGAAGACTTAGAAGTGGACAATCAAAACAAAGACAGAGTGACACCTTATTATAGATTCATATTTTTATTAGAGAGAGATAAATTATCTTTTCCTGCAAAAGTCCAAGTTCTGTTTATGCATGCATCTGGTAAATATCATAAAGTAGAAAGTAGAGTAAAAAGCGACAAGAACATTTTAGATGCTCTCCAGTTTTCTATTTCTGCAAGTTTTTTAAATGTGTTATTTTTATTTCTCCTATTTAAAAAAATAGAAATCCAAAGAAATATCCTGTTTCACACCCACATTTCCTCAAATCCCATAGTCTTCAAGGTACCCTTCTCGCACCACATCTTTTTTTTCATATTCTATAGATAGGAACCTAAAGAATATGAAGGAAATAAGTTGTATTGTCCCGAGCCAGGAACAACTTCAGACATTACTAACATGCACAATATCACTGAACAGGACTCTGGATGGTACTGGAAGGAGTGGTATTCCATGCAACAAAAATAAGAAAATCTTTGAAGTAGTGCTCCACTGTACTTCCCAGAGGTGTGAAGAAGCGCAATTATCTTTAATATTTCCATGCCATAGAACTCTAAGGCTATTTCTAATAAATATCACATTATTTATGTCATTATTAGTATATTCAAAAATCTACTGTCTCATAAAGAAAATATCATTTAAGGGTTATTTCTCAGATTGACTGTAATAATTTACACAAGTTTTGAGCATAAATACTGTTTAAGTATCTACTTATTATAATGTTGATTTTTTTTTTAGTTTTTCTTTATCTTCCTAACAAAAAGTATAAAATTACTCAGAACAAGCAGGTATTCTTTTCTTTAGGACAGATTCAGAATTCACTACCAAATAAAGACATGATTTTGTCTATGTTTTCTTAAATTTATGGTACACATAAAAAATTAGTCAAAAAAAATTTTAAGCAAACTTAAGGCATACAAAAATATAAGTTTCATAAATATAAGTTACCTGTACATGAATAATCATCAATTCTGATGTATCCAGTTTTGCAGATGCACATGAAAGAACCTGGAGTATTGACACACATCGTATTTTCACGACAGTAATGGCGTCCTTCAGCACACTCATCAATGTCTGTGAAGAAAATGTAGGGCAAGGAGGTCAATAGTACAACATTCTAGAGTTTCTCTATATTTTCTTTGGGAGAGATAGGGGAATAGTTACTAATTAAATAGCATTTTAAAAACATTCAAGATATCTCCTTTAATAGAAAGGTTTGCTATTCAAGTTACTGAAACCATATAAGTTTTTTCCAACAGCTTTTGCTGGTGTCTCTAAGAAGTCTGTCTATTCCAATTTGCATCATTCTAACTATTTTTTTAAATTTTGGGTGCATTCATCTACCTATGTTTGGTAAAACAAATCAGAATGCAAAGATCGGGCTACTTTTACATCTTGGATTCTTCGATCACTGAATCTACCATATATTATTGTTTTATCCACCAGCTATTCTGTACACTCCAGGACACCCTTAAAGAGGTAAATATATTATTCAATCTATACCCGAATTTGAATAGCTTCACTTAAAGATATGAAGCCAATTACATGTAATTTGTTAGACACACAAGTAGACATATAGCTACCCTAGTGTCTGAACAGAGATAAGATCATAATATAGAGACTTGATATAGATAAGTTATAAAATAGTATCATATGGAAGATTAGAATGGCATAATGGACATTGGAGACTTAGAAGAAAGGAGTACACTAGTTGGGCTATGGGTGCACTTAAAGTCCAGACTTCTTCACCACTATCAATTCACCCATGTAACCAAACCCACTTGTACTGCTAAAGCTATTGAAATAAAAGAAATTTTAAAGATCTCATATAGGAGATCTTATATAGTAATTCATTCACCAAGATTTGAGTATAAAGACTCATAAATGCTAAGGCATTATAAGCACTAGTATTAATTGTGAAGAATGTGAATTTTGACAATAAAACTGTATTCATTTTATATCACTTCTATGCAAGAAACATATGCATTTTACAGGTATTTTTTCATTATATAATACTCTATATTAAGGACCTTTCTGCACTGACCAGACAAGGCATTTTCCATCCAGTAGTCTGCTTTCTCAAATCTTTGTAGTGAATTCACAAGGTAGCACTGACTTCATTTGTACTATTAACAGAAATGAATCAACTGTAGGAGATGGCTAGGTGACTCGCTACAGGGGCCATGTCATTCATGTAACATCCACAATGCTCCCAGTGCTGAGAGCATCAAAAATATGAAACAATATAACATCAGAAACCTATATTTTAGAACTACAAGGTTCTTAGTAATCATCTGTGCTATCTACTTATTTGAGAGAGAGAAAAACTCATTTTTCTATAGAGAGACTCAATTTTCTATTCAATCTCATTGTCAGTATAAGAAATTCCAAATCTTAACATACAAAGCTCCTCCTTTTCCAAGCTTACAATCCTATGACCTCATTCCCTTCTCTCCTCTCAGTGTTCTGGCCACACTGAGCTTATGATCATTTATTGAATAGGTCAAGCTCTTTCATATTACCTGCCTCCACATATGCTGTTCTCTCTATTTAAAACTGTTGCTTCTCTCCCTGACACCACTTCCAGTGAATTGATCTTATTTACCAGTAGATGCATCCTTCAAGAAGCTACTTAAATGTCCCCCCTGGGAAACTTCTCTAATGAACTAATATGCTCTGTATGCACTGCTCCCTTGGAACTTTGAAAATGTTTCCATTATAGATGTATCAATTGTATTTTTATTAATTTTATATGTTTTTTCTCCCAAACAAATCACATACTCCTCAAGAATATAAATTATCTATTAGTGTCTCTTAGCTTTGGTTGCCCACTATATTAATCTAGAATGCTAAAGGAAAAAACAAAAACAACAACAAAAAAACACTGCTTCTTGGACCAACTCACAAACCTGATTTCAAATTTTGATTTAATTATTTGCAATGGAATATAGGCAGTAATTTTTTTAAAAATATTCCACGATGAGTCTAATGCAGGGGTCAGCAAAAATTCTCTATAAAGAGACGAATAGAAAAAGTTTTAAATGTTCTGGGTGTCACAGAAAACACATAAATAAATGAACCTAGCAGTATTTGAATAAAATTTTATTCATAAAAATTGACAGCCAGATTTGGTTCACAGACCATAGTTTGATGACTTCTGGTCTAATACAACCAGGGTCAAGAATTGCCCCTGAGTAACATGAGGCTTGAAGATAGCTTACTAGAGACACTCACCTCCTCTACAAAAAAAGATTAAAACAGTAAATAGATAACCACATGTGAAATTGAGCTTCTAACAGAGAACACTGGAATTCAACAGGAAAGAAACAGGGGACCTCTACAGCACTGCAGGAGAGGAAAGTGAAGCAGTGACCCAGCAAGGATCATCTCAGAGCCAAGAGGAACTATCCACTGTAGAAGAAAAGTTAAGTGAGAGCCCCCCAGTGGTCTACATTTCCACTGCAGACTTCTGTGATCCTAGCCATGAGAGAACACTTCAGCCCCCTCAGGTCCTGAGAGGAGTATAAGGAGCTTCCTGGAGTCCATACAATGTCACTACTAGAGAAAGGGAGTTCAAACTAGGTCCTACACATCCCCCAAGACCAAGCAGCTGCAATGCAGTGAAATTTTGAGAGCCTAGCCTTCAAAGACTATATACTGCCCTAGGATCCAATAACCCTTGCTTTTCCCCATCTCTGAAGCCCTGCTGACATCCCTCCACTACCACCCAGAGGGCTGCTGTGTCAGGATGCCAGTTGGACCTTGCAGTGCAGCCAGGTCCCCAGCATTCTAGCCCACACAATGTCCTACACTCTAAGAAATGGGTGGTGCAGCAAACTACAGTGGCTGCCCCTGGGACAAAGGAAGTAGAAGCATGTGCTCCCAAGAAATTGAGAGCTGCCTGCCCTGGGCTATTACCACTGACAGCAACCTCCCCCTGTGAAGCAGCAGAACTGCAGTGTACCTATAGGCATTTTCAGGGAACATGAAGACCAGGAAAGACTACATGCTTTCTTGGACCCAGGGACAGGCCTATATCACCCACTGCCACTGCCACCAACACTTGAATGTACTATGTAGGAACCTGAAGACTGACTTGCATTACTCACCACAGACAGTGCCTGGGTGTACCATCAGGGTGGCTGAGATGCCCACATTACCAACTGCCATCACTGCCGGTGCCCAAATGCATAATCTGGGAATCTGGGAATTGACTCACACATCTCACATGTGCTGACTGGAGGCCTGGAATAGGTCCACCCTGCCTACACCACTGACACATGTGCACACCATCAAGGGGCATTAGAGATGGGCCTAGCCCATCTGTTGTCAGCACCCACATATGTTTCTTGGGGGTTTCAGGAACCAGCATGCCTAGCCTATCTCTGCCACCATTAGTGTTTCTACACCAACATCATAAATACTGGGGAACCAAGGATCCACCCATTTGGCCTGTCCCTGCCCCTACCGCAGCCAGCACCTTAGAATACTGCCTGGAGGAAAGTCCCATCAATGTCTGCCACTGCTAGTGCCCACATATGCCACCTGAAAGTCCAAGAACAATCAGGTCTAACCCACCAATTGCACTGCTGGTGCCTGAGAACCAGCCCAGCTGGGAACCCTAGCAAAATCTCATCACAGCCTCTACTAACCACAGTCTGAGTCAGAGGAACTCATAGACATAACAGAAATCACACAGAGACCACATTACTGTGCCTACCCAAAATCACAGTAAAAGCACCCTACCCTATAGACTATAGACACATCTGTTGAAAAAAAATCTTTCTCTATTAAAGCCAATCCATAAAACAGGAAGAACAGACTTTTACACCAGATGCACAGATATCAGCATAAAAACACAAGAAACATAAGCATACAAAGAAACATGACATCTACAAAAGATCAAAATAATTATTCAGTAACAGATCCCAAAGTAAAAGAAATCTATGAAATGCCTGAAAAAGAATATAAAATCATGATATTGGAGAAGCTCAGTAAGATACAAATGAGCAAAGATAGACAATACAAAGAAATCAGAAAAACAATTCATGATTTGAATAAGAAATACAACAGAGACAGATTTTTTTTAAAAAAACATAAATCTTGGAAGTGAATATTTAACAAACAAAATTAAAAATACAATGGAGAGGTTCAACAATAGACTAGATCAAGCAAAAGAAATAATTTCTGAACTTGAAGATAGGATTTTTTAAATAATCCAGTCAGACCAAAAAAGAAGAGAAAAGAGAGAAAAAGAAAGAAAGAAAGCCTATGTGACAGACAGGAAACATAAAGTGACCAAAACTCAAATTATGAGAATTCCAGAATAGAAAAATGAGCAAAAGCATTGGAAGTGTTAAAATCATAACTGAAATGTTTCCAACTCTTGCAAGAGATATAGACATCCAGATACAGAAAACTCAAAAGTTCCCAGATAGAGTCAATTCAAAAACACCTTTAAGGCAAATTATAGTGAAATTGTCAAAAGTCAAAGACAAAGAGAGAATTTTAAAAATGCAAGAGAAAGCATCAAGTCACATATAAGGGAATCCCAATCAGAACAACAGTAGACTTCTCAACAAAAACCTTAAAGGCCAGAAGAGAATGGAACAATATATTCTAAGTGCAAAAAAAAAAAATAGAATTAGCCAAGAATACTATACCCAGCAAAGTTACCATTCAAAAATGAAGGAGAAATAAAGTATTTCCCAGATAAGCAAAAACTGAAGGAAACCATCATGACTAGATCAGCCTTAAAAGAAACATACTAGGTAGTACTATATCTGAAAGAGAAAAAAAAGACAGCTAAAGTTATGAAAACATACAAAAGTATAAAACTCACTAGTAGATCAAAAACACAAATGAGAAAGTGGCAGAACATTATCATTACACACACCACAAAAAACTCTATCAAATGTAAAGGTAAACAATAAAAGAAGAAAAAAGGAACAAAACAATCAGAAAACAATTAACAAAATGGCAAAAATAAGTCTCACTTATCAAAAACAAGTTTGAATATAAATGGTTTAGATCTCCCAATTAAAAGACATAGAATATCTGAATGGATTAAAAAA